ATGTTGACTAACACTTGCATTCCTGGAATTAATTCTAATTGGTCATGGTATTATAAACCTTTTAACATGCTGCTGGATTTTATTTGCTAGTATTTTGTTGAGGATTTTTGCATCTGTATTCATAAGGGACTGTAGTTTTCTTGTGATGGCGTTGGCCTTGTAAAATGAGTTAGGAAGTGTTCCCTTTTCTTCTGCATAAAATATTGTAATAATATTTTCTCATTTAACATATAAACTTTCTCATGATCTTAATAATGAGTTTTTTTTAATGACTATATAATATTCCTGGTACTAGATGTGCCATTCCCCTGTGTACATGTGTTTAATTTTTTTTCTCTTAAGGTAACATAGAAGTGAGCATCTTTGTGTGGGTAACTTTTTATTCCTCATTTTTTTAGCTCACACTTTGTATTTAAAATTACACTTTAAGGATTCTTAATAAAATGTAGTCAGGTAGAGTCCTGATAATTCAGAGAAACAGTTTTCTGTTTATTTCATGTGACTTATTTAGAGTTCTGATAATGTTGCAAAGTGGTAAGCATTTTTAAATTGCTGACTTCTTCATTCATTTTGTTAGTTAGAGTGGAGATCTGTCCTCAATCACTCACTGTTAATGTACGTGAATGACTAGAACGCTGGAACAAAATCAGGCCTGCCTTAGTAATGTGTTTTCCACTTATGAAATTGGAGTGTGGGTACTCTGTTGCCATGGATATTTGCTATTTAAATATGTTGAAAGGTTTAAAATGTTCTCTTGTTTTATTAGGACTTCATAATGATGAGTAGTAAATTATCCAGGAAGATAATAAAAAATTGTGTGTTAGGATTAATATAGACTATAAATTGTTGACTGCAGTTTAAAAATTCATGTTACCTCTGTTGTGATTAAAAACTGCCTCTGTTTAAATCTTTCTTTTAACAGATGTTTCAGTTACCATTAAAGTAAATATAAATGATTCATAGATTCTGGGAAGATAATGCTAACAACTTAATAAGGCATAATTTTAACCATGAATGAAGTAGCATCTTAGCATTTGAAATAGCCTCAAAGCATTCTGCTTTGCTGATTGTTTGCTTGCAGTCCTTTCATTATTAAAGACATATGTGATTAGTTTTAAAGAGTGTGTGATTCAGCTGTCACACTTGAAACCTAGAGGTGCAATTTGAAATTACATATCAGCTATTACAGAAATGAGCTTACTGAAAAAATTTTGCTGCATACTACAATAAATAATGGCAGAAGTTTGATTTAATTCTTATGTGTCACAATTACTGATTATAATATAAATATATCAGATATTGTTGTCTATGGAAAATATGGGATGAGAATTACTAAGCATTTTTATCCTGAAACGTACTATCAGGTATAAAATGGAAAATTGCTGACCTAATAAATATACAGAGCTCATACAATTCATTGTCATGTACATCTGCTGCTCTCATATCTCCAATTGATTACTCCACATTTCTAGTTGGATGACATTATTTAATGCTAACCTGTTATCTGATGCTGAGCCCTTGATCAGTAATGAAACTTTCAATTATAGCATTTCTTTGGAAAAAAAGACTGTTTTGTGACCTGTTTTAGAGTGTAGTGAAAAATGACTCTTTTCATTTCAAAGGACACTTGTACTTACTTCTCTCGTTATCACTGCACACTCTTCATATCTCAAATTGTATTCTTCTCTCATCCTAAAAACCTGCAAGGCAAGAGATCTCTGCATAATTGAAAGCACTGGACTTGTGTCCTACTCTGAACATCATTTTCCTTATTTGTAAAAACTGAGGGTGTTAAACTAGAAGATCTATAATATTGCTTCAGGTGTCTCACTCTAAAAATTGAGGTGTTTAAGAACATCACCCTGTATGGGTGGTATGCCAATTTTCTTCTGGTCTCACATTGGTCATCTATTATCCTAGTCCATTTAATTGTAAACAGCCTTGTAAGTAGTTTTTTATTTCAAATTTTCTGTTCTAATTTTTCTTTCCATTTTTTAAAAAAATATATTTTACTGATTTTTTTACAGAGAGGAAGGGAGAGGGATAGAGAGTTAGAAACATCGATGAGAGAGAAACATCGATCAGCTGCCTCCTGCACACCCCCTACTGGGGATGTGCCCGCAACCAAGGTACATGCCCTTGACTGGAATCGAACCTGGGACCCTTGAGTCCGCAGGCCGACTTTCTATCCACCTGAGCCAAACCGGTTAGGGCTCTTTCCATTTTTGCTAATCTTAGTACAGGCCTAGGTCAAACAAGAGCTTATTTCCAGTCTTTCTTCATTTTGTTTTATCCCCATGTTGCTTTATGACTTACCTTCCCTCAAGACCAGTTTCATCAAGTTACTTTTTTAAAAAAATAAATCTTTATTGTTGAAAGTATTACATATGTCCCTCTTTTTCCCCATTGACCCCCTCCATCATCAATTTACTTCTATTTAGGAAGTGTTGTTGGCTTAATTCCACATATCATACACGTTTCTGTTTATTCTAGTAACTTTCAGATCCCTAGCACAATTTTCTGTTTTAATCATATTGGTGTCCTTAACCTCATCCTATGTTCTTTCCATCTGTTTTACTAAATTATTCTCCTTACCTGAATGCCTTTTTCTTTAAGCCCTTCTGCCATTCTGAGAGATTAGCTTGTGAAACTTAACTTGGCCACTTCAGTAGTATATGGTATTCTCTGAGGGTTTGTGTAAACTTTTAACAATCCTTGAGATAGTGGCATTAATCATAACTTACACAGAAGATTCTGAGACTAATGAGCAGTGGAACTGGGGTTTGAATTTTGTTTGGGATCTTTTTACTTCTCCTTAAAAAAATGGCCAAAGTAACCCCAAGGAACACATAAACAGAGTTAATGACACAGATTTAAGTGCTCAACATAATCTGGCACCTAGCATGTACTAGTATTTGCTAAATATTTAGATGGACATTTTTCTTAAAGTTTGAGAGTTCCTTTCTCTACTTAATTTATCAAAGGAGCTTGAAGTAGGGAAGCCCTTCATCTGACGAGTGTCTCATTTTTGTTTAGGAACCCTGGGGAGATCTTTCATGAAATCTTTCAAAGGGATAATAGTAAAACATTTTCTTTTTTTACATTAAAGGCTGAAAAAGAGATGGCCTTTGTGTGTATGTTCAGTAATCATCCGTTCATGATAGTGAATAGATATTTTTAGGGCTAAGACTGAGCAATACAAGCAGTGTTAATGAGATTTTAAAGGACATCATACTAATTGTTGGAAGTTACTCATGCACTTGGAGTATCAATGACTGTCAAAGTGAAAATGTGGTTTTTAAGAGTAGTAGCTAATAGACAGTTTCCTTATAAAAATCGAGGTCACTGTGCATAGTGATCAACCCTATTTTTTGGCTTCATTCCCCTCTTCTATGTGATTGACTCCCCAGTGCTTAACCCCCTTGTAGCTCTCTTTAATCCTGCAACTTCAACTCACTGCTAGATCTTTTCATTGGTGACCTGTCATCTCAAACCTAACATTCATAATTTGCTATGTTTTATAATTGTATGTATAATTGTGTTTATGTTATTGTATTATGTTCACAAGCATAAAGTTCTTGTGTGAGGATCATAGCTTACATTCCTTTGAATCCCCTGTACCTATTATAGTGCTTTGGGTACAATAGGAAACCAAATGCATGTGATTACAGTAATTTCATGGCAAGAGTAGCTTTTTTCTTTTGGTAACTTCAAAAACCTGGTTGGTATTCATCCAGAGTTCAGATATAATTGCAAAGTCTATAGAATCAGACAATAACAAGAAGGTTCTGTTTTGTATCTTGTAAAAACAAGAGCATTATCTTCGAAAGTTATATACTCCTTGTAGAAAATTTTTTTATCTGTTTGATGAATGACTTAAACACATTTATTTAAAATTAAATCCTTTCTTAGTTTTGGAGGTAATGGATATATGTTTATTACCTTGATTGTGTGATAGTTTCAGGCTATATGCATATGTCCAAACTCATCAAATTGTATACATTAAATATGTTACAGTTCTTTGTATATTAGTTATAAATCAGTAAAGCTTTTAAAATTAATTTTAACTGGCTTTTAATAGGCAATACAAAATTATAGCACTTATTTTTGCTGTTCATCTCACTTTAAACTGGTTTGATTTTCTGTGTATTAGGCTTGCTTGCATTTCTCCTTTACCTACACATTATCTCTGACCTTTTTTTCCCCCCTAATTTTTCTTTTATAATACTTCTGTTTTTTATTTTTTTATTTTTTAAAATATATTTTATTGATTTTTTACAGAGAGGAAGGGAGAGGCATAGAGAGTTAGAAACATCGATGAGAGAAAAACATCGATCAGCTGCCTTCTGCACACCCCCTACTGGGGATGTGCCCGCAACCAATGTACATGCCCTTGACCGGAATCGAACCTGGGACCCTTCAGTCCGCAGGCCGACGCTCTATCCACTGAGCCAAACCGGTTAGGGCAATACTTCTGGTTTTTAAAGTATTCTGTTTTATATTAAGGGCATATTTTAATTGTTTCGAGGTTGTTAATACAAACTTGAGGACAAGGACCATGATTTATTTGTCTTTATATTGGCACTGTGTCTAGCACAGTATCTGGCAAAGAGCCATTTAATGGCAGATCACTCAGGTCTCCTGAGATATGGAGACCAGTGCTCCTTTCTCATTATGCTATGTGGACCATAGCCTACATTCACATTCTGAATTAAAAACCTTAATGATGATTGACTCTTAAGTTAGCACTTTAACAGGTCTTGATTATGATTTTAAACTTTTGGAAAATATCGTTGAGTAAGTGACTATATACAAAGAGTATATTGATGTTGCTACACTGTCTAAAATAGGAGTGAATCAGAATTAATGTCTTCTGATTCTGTATTTGTCATGACTTTGATTAAAGTAATTTTTAATAAAGATAAAATATGTTGTGGTATTTAAAATGTATTTTTAAAATATTTTGCTTTCTCCACCCCCTTCTTCTTATTTTTATAAAGTTACCGGGCAGTGACATTGCCAGTGGGAGTGATGTGCTTTCTGATGTCATACCCAGTATTCCAAGTTCACCTTGCCTGCTTCCTAAAAAGAAAAACAAGCACAGGAATTTAGACGAACTTCCTTGGAGTTCAATGTCAAATGATGAACAGGTAGAGATCTTGGCATTTTAATTAAAAGCATATATGTGGAGACTATATGAAGCTCAATTTATTGCCTGTTTAAAGTCACAGGGTAAATATGGATTGCATAGTGAATCTGAATTTTAGCTATAACTAATTGTTTTTTAGGGAACAAATTAACATTAAGTGCTTTGATATTTAAAATATAATAAATGACATACTAGACAATCAGGTTTTGACATTGATCTTGTTTATTATAATTTTTTATTACATAGGTGGAATATATTGAGTATCTGAGTCGCAAAGTCAGTACTGAGATGGGTCTTCGGGAGCAACTTGATATTATTAAAATAATTGATCCTTCTGCTCAAATCTCCCCTACAGACAGTGAGTTTATTATTGAACTTAACTGTCTCACAGATGAAAAACTGAAGCAGGTATGTAAAAAAAATATAGATTGTTCAGCTATAGAAAATATCATTGTTTTGTAGCATGTATACGTGAATAATATGTAAATTCATAGATAATTAGCTAAAAATCACTGCTGTGAAATATAATATTATAAAAATTATGGTAATATTTGAGAACACGTGTTTTTTTTAAATAAAGATTTTTTATTGGTTTTTAGAGAGAGAGGAAGGGAGATGGAGAGAGAAATATTGATGTGATAGCAAAACATCGATCAGCTGCCTCCTGTATAGCCCCTACCACGGTTCAAGCCCACAACCCAGGCATGTGCCTTGACTGGGAATTGAACCAGCAACCTTTTGGTGTACAGGACAATACCCAACCAACTGAGCTACACTGGCCAGGGTGAGAACAGGTGGTTTTAAGAGGTTTTATGTACATCTCACCTGGCAGGACCTCTCTGGGATCGTGTGGATCTAGAACCTGCTTCTTAGTTGTGTAGGCTTTGAAACTTAATTTCACCACATGAGGGATGGTTACACTACAGTATAGATTTATTCTAACTCAGCTTACAAAAGACTGATTGATATAATGAAAATAATGATTATTGAGAGTTAATACTTGCATGAACATCTGAACTGAAGGATTTGAGTAGTCTTATGAAGTAATTGAGCTTGGCTAGGGTAAAACATAATTAATTTTCCCTTATGCTATTTTGAAATACACATTTCTGGTATCTTCTAAGTATAGTCTTTACTACTCTTTTTCGCTGGCACATAGCTAAATGAATACTTCTGTTCTATTTTTTTGACATTTATCATTATTTATAAAACATTTTTCTCATTTCAGTATTTCTCTCAACAAACATTATAATGTTCTATATTCAATCCCCTTTTTCATTAGTATGGTAAATTGATACCTTGCATTTGAAGGCAGCTACTGTGTGCCCCTAGCTAAGATTTATGAAACACCCTAATATTAGATATACTTAGAAATTTACTTAAATCATCTTTAGTGGAAATCTTTTAAAAAATCTCATCTGCCCTGCTGGTGTTGCTCAGTGGTTGAGCGTTGACCCAGGAACCAAGAAGTCACCAGGTAGATTCCAGATCAGACCACATGCCCCAGTTATGGGCTCTATCCCCAGTAGGGGTCATGCAGGAGGCAGCCTATCAGTGATGTTACTCTTTCATCAATGTTTCCATTTCTCGATCCCTATCCCTTCCTCCCTCTAAAAAATAAATCAATAATAGCATACTTTAAAAAAATATCATCTATTTTATTTTACTGTTAGTTTCTGTCTCTTGAGTGTTATGATCCTAAATTCTGGATGCCAGTAGCCTTCCATTTATTGATTATATAGGGTGTCCCAAAAACGTATACACACTTTTATATAGACTCGTTTAAATTTTGAAAATTAACTGTATGTTAATAAACATGGACTTTATAATCATTCAAAGTGTGTATACATTTTTTTGGGACACCCTTTATTTTATGTGCTTTGAAAATCTAACTCCATAATATATATTCTAGAATTTTGAACATTGTCAAGAGGTTTCTTTTTGTCCTTATATTCTACCTACAGTGGGGCCTTGACTTACGAGTTTAATTCGTTCTGAGACCGAGCTCGTTAAGGAGCTTGTTAACTCAAATTACTCTATCAACTCAATGCAAAAAATCGGTGAAGAGACAGCTGGTATCTCAAAAAACTCGTTAGTCGGGACATTCGTAAGTCAAGGCCCCACTGTATGTGTATCTGTAACACTTTTGACAGTCTTTTAAGTACACCATTCTATTCTCGAGTATTTTGAGGGTAGAACGTCAAGTAACAACACTAACTAGTTTTTATCTTTGCGTTCCAAGGTCAGAAACTATATCAAGGAGCATAGCCCTCGCCAACGGCCTGTACGAGAGGCCTGGAAGAGAAGCAACTTTAGTTGTGCAAGCACCAGTGGAGTGAGCGGTGCCAGTGCCAGCAGCAGCAGTGCCAGCATGGTCAGTTCAGCAAGCAGCAGCGGGTCCAGTGTTGGAAACTCTGCTTCAAACTCCAGTGCCAACATGAGTCGAGCACACAGTGACAGCAACTTGTCTGCAAGTGCAGCAGAGCGGATTCGGGATTCAAAAGTAAAACATCTAATCAATACAAAACTTTACCTTTCAATATTAACATTAGTACTCCCTCATATAAATTTCTTGAAGAGTTAAATGTATCTTGCTATCTAGATGCCTGGGGGTTGTGGTTTTAATTTTTTTTGTCTTACATTCTTTTATTTATTATGCATATGCATATGCAGATCTGTTTTTTGTACAGTATTTGGTTCTATCAAATAATCATACCAAGGCATTCTATTTGTATTTTTCCCCAAATCTACAGTGATTTCATGAGGAGGTGGGGTTGGCAAGCAGCTGGTTCTGGTTCAATTGAACAAAGCCCTCTAGGTTGAATCCTTTGAAATACTGTTGTGACCCACAGCCATAACACTCAAATTTATCTGATTTTTGTGTCTCTTTTTTAAAAATATATTTTATTGATTTTTTTACAGAGAGGAAGGGAGAGGGATAGAGAGTTAGAAACATCGATGAGAGAGAAACATCGATCAGCTGCCTCCTGCTCACTCCCCACTGGGGATGTGCCTGCAACCAAGATACATGCCCTTGACCAGAATCGAACCCGGGACCCTTGAGTCCGCAGGCCGATGCTCTATCCACTGAGCCAAACCGGTTAGGGCGATTTTTGTGTCTCTTTTAAGTAAGATAAATTGATGGAAACAATGAGTGAATCTCAGGATTGCAATATTGACTATAACTCACTACTGAGTGGGTCTCCCTATATCACTGATGTTACTGTCTATTAGCTCTCAAGAATATTCTGTCTTTTGTGTATGTTAAATGTTTTTTTAATGTTTTAGTCTTAAGTGTTTCATCTTAGCCCTTTTATAAAAATATAATAATGCTTTCTCTAATTTATTTCTACTGTTTTCACAGTTGAAAAAAATCTGTGTAATATTATTGAGCATATACAAAATAGGTAATATAAGTATACTAGAGGCCTGGTGCACAAAATTCGTGCACGGGTAGCGTCCCTATTCCTGGCCGGAGATCAGGGCCGATCAGGTTCCCCACCTCCCCACCTCCTCCTTCCCTAGCCGTCCATGTGCCGCCACCGCGTGGTTCCCCTGCCTCTCCACCTCCTCCTTCCCTTGCTCCTTCAGCGCCCTGCCGCCACCACTGCTCACCCGCCATGTTCCGTGCCGCCCCCTGGTGATCAGCACATGTCAGAGCAAGCAATCGAACTCCTGGTCTCTCAGTAGAACTCCTGAGGGGGGGCACTTTGCATATTAGCCATATATATAGATACAGATATAGATATAGATATAGATATAGATAGATATATAGATATATATAGATATAGATAGACATATATATAGATGTATGGTTCTATGATGCTTAGCAGGGGAGTTCAGCTCTTGCAGTGGTGACAGTCTGGAGCCAACTTAAGGATGATAAGGGTATCTTTCTAACTCTTTGGGAACCCAATGGTGACTAGAAGATACACAGTGATTTTTTCTCTGACTTTTACCGAACAGAAACATAGTCAGCTTTGTTGGTTGCCAAGGGATTCCTCTGGATATATGGTCATTCCTTTTTAGCATTAGTTCACCAGTGACAAGGAATAGAGTACCCAATGGGTTTCTAATGGGCTTTTAAGATGGTATTTGCCTAATACGGAAATACATGATTCTTTTCCAGTCATGGTAAAATTGCTAGTGCTTTTGGATGAAAGACAACTTAAAAGCATAAGCATTAGAGATGTTCTTTGCACTTGTGTTCGGTATTGTTCACTATGTGTTCACTCTGCACTGACACCAGTGTACCTTAATTTGATTTCTAAATCTTTTTAATGATTGGTTATCCATAACTAGTTAAAATGATCAAGTTTCATCCCCTCCTTATCAGAAGGTTCACTGGTCAAATACATAAAAATAGATTCTTGAGGAAGCATTTTCAAGTCTAAGCCAGGGGCTCACTTACTGGAACCTGGATCATACTGCAGAGGAATTTGAACATCTATAGAAATTCTGAGAATAAAAAATTTGATCCATAAAATACTTTGAAGTGGATATGCCAAAACTAAACTTTACTGATTTAGAAAATTTTATTTTGACAGAAGCGATCCAAGCAGCGGAAGTTGCAGCAGAAGGCCTTACGCAAGAGGCAGCTGAAAGAGCAGAGGCAGGCTCGGAAGGAGCGGCTCAGTGGGCTCTTTCTTAACGAAGAAGTGCTGTCCTTGAAAGTGACTGAGGAAGACCATGAAGCAGATGTAGATGTTTTGATGTAAAAAGGGTGAAGTTATCAACGTTCTTTCCAAGCATTATTTGTTTACATGCATCTTGACCAAGCTTTTGGTTAGGGCTGTGCTGATGTACCATTAATAATTTAGGCCAGTGGTTCTCAGCAGGTGGTCCCTGGATCATCGTCTTCAGCATCACTTGAGAAGTTGTTAGAAATGCATACTATGGGGCCCCACGCCAAACCTAGCGAATCAGAAACCCTGGGGGAGAGGCCTAGCATTGTATTGTAACAAGCACCAGGTTATTTTATCCTGCATGCTAGCTTTAAGAACCACTGATTTAGTAAATGTTGTTTTGACTATTTAAACTTTAGGTTGGTTAAGTAGGCTTTTTCAAATATTAGTAATTTTAAAGTTTAGAAGATTTCAAGGTACTTCTGACAAGTAGTTTATTATGTCTGTATATGTATATGTGTAGAGATCATAATTCATTTTCCTTAATGTTATAATTTCTTAGTTTATATTTTCTAAAGGGCCATAGCATAATTCTCAATTTCTTGTGGAAGTCTTTCTTTGAGGTTTTGGGGATGGAATGTGGATTGCTATCTACAATAGTGCCTTCATTAGGTTTATTTCTATCTGTTTTCATTCATTATTAACTCAAAAGTGTAAAACCAGGCCCTATTATCTTTCTTGTTAGGTTTGTTTTTTTCTTTTCACTTTATGTACATTTAGTATCCTTTTTGTAAGTGATGACTACTGAGGAAATAGTGTTACTAACAGCTGAATTTTAGACTTGATGCTATGTTCATTAATATTCAAATGAGAAAGCAATGAACAAAATAACCCATTCTACTCTTTCACTGCTTTCTAAAGTTTTAGGCTGTGAAACTGTCTGAAAGGCAGAAAATATCTCTTAAGTTCTTTTTGTGGGTCATTTTTTTTTCCAGCACAGCTCTAATTTTTAAATAGTTGGTATAATAGCTTCTGGCATGTGAACAGGTTAATGTTCAAAATTAACTAAAGGAAACCCTTACAGTTCTGTTAACCGTCCCTATAAATCTTTAAAATACATAGAGCAGTGAGATAATAGAAAAAACCTTAGCTTGTTGGCGGTTAAAATAGAACTAATTTTAAATGTGAAATTATAGTTTCTTTAATGCTTTTATGGAGAGTTTGTTATGAACATTCGCAGTAGTGTGACTCCTTTTCTTCTACCACACATCTTTAATCATTCATATGGATTAAAGAAGTTGGAAACTAATACTACTGACAATCAAGCTGCTTTCTGACCTTCATAATTTTTATTTTATTGTAGATAACTTTTGAAAGGTAATTGTGATACTATAGGAGTTGCAGTCCATATCTTTAAAGCTAGAGTCAGAGGTTGATGGGGATTTCTACTTTTTTTAACTTATTATACCAAGTAACTTGTTAAGATAAAGATTAATGGCTTAAATTCTTAATTTAAAGTTCTTAATCTAAATATAAAGGCATAACCTTTGCTTACAGTCATGTGTTTTGAAAATTTGATTTCATTTTGGTTCCTTGAAGGTTAAAGAATTGAAACTGAGGATAAAAATTGATATATTGCAGCTTTGCTGAGGCCTGTAACATTTTGAAGACCATTAAATTCATACTTTAAAATGTTACTAAAATTTAAGAAGTGTATATGTGTACTAGTATATGTTTATCAGTTGGAATAGTCTTTCTGACTTTCCTCTTACCTCCTCTTTGGTGCTCCTAACCAGCTTAGAGGGCCCAACGAGAGCTTGGGGATAGACCCAAGAATACTCTGAGGAAGGTGGAAGGGTCAACCTCCTTGTGTTTTCCTTTTCAAGTATAGGGAGAGTAAATGGAGAGAAGAATAAATACAGCTGAATTCTCTATTTGCTCTTAGCAAAAACAAATTTCAGAGAATGATTGTTCTCTTCACTCTTCAAGGAAAACAGGCCCGTTTTGGAGACCGCAGAGCAGACTTGATCTGTTAAATACTTGGAAACAGTTTACTTGACAGTGACCAGTAAAAGAAAATCCTAAACAGGGTTGTGATGTAATAAGACCAATTCCTCTACTCTCCCAACAATCACATAGTCTTATTACCTCAGATTTAACGTAGGTCACTATTAAACAAGTTTACCAAAGCACCACAAAGCCAATTTTAAAAGTATATAAAGGTTTGAGAGTTTATGGTAAAGTGTGCCATGAAATTTTGTGTAGATCTGGATGAACTGTCTTTACAGTACTATAAATTAAAGATAACTCATAAAGTTGGTTTGAAGGAGATTGAAATACTTCCTCCGATTAAAACGAAAAAAAGTAACACAACTTGGGTTTGCTTATGATTAAAGAGGGAGATTACAGTGTTCTCCATCCCCCTTCAAAAAAACTCGGGAGAAAAAGACAAAAAGTCTTTGTTAACATGTTATTTTCTTGTTCTGTTTTAATGCCTTATGTAGATAATGTAAGTTTGAATTACTTCTTTCTTGGAATAAGTAATTTATTCAATCTGGTATATCTCTGAGTTCAATTCAAAAGAAACCCAGCTCTGTTTTTTTTTTTTTTTCTTTTAAGCCCTAACTAAGCCTTGTTATCGGAGAACATGATAAAGTCCCCTCAGATTTATCCAGAAACATTTTATTAGAGATCTTGTATATATGTCATTATATCTCAATAAAATGGAAAAAAAGAGATATCATAGAAGTCTGTCAGTCCCCACTACAGCTTTTTAAAGTATGAATCTTGAGTTAAACAAAATGGCATGTCTTTTTCTACAGTATCTCAATGGAATTAAAGTAAGGTGGTATAGTTTAAGACATAGTGGAGTGTAAAGGGCTAGTTCATTCTGTCCCAACAAGAACTTAAAGTAACACCTTTTTGCTTTCATAAGACTTGTCTCATTTTTTGTTAAGCTGTGGTGGTTTTGTCCATTTCCTGTCTTTATTATTAAGTTAATATTGCTGATGAATTAATCACAGAAACTGACTTACCATTTATGGATTCGGTAGACATCTCATTTTATAGTTTTTAAATGTGCTAAATCCCCTCATAAAGGAAAAATTCAAAGAACCTATAGTATAAAGGTATCCAGATTCTGATGAGCTTTAAAAACTGTGAAATTTATCAAATGTGTTAATATTTAGGCTAAAAATGTTAGTTGCTAGTAACTAACAACTATAGAAGTCTTGTTTCTAGATTCTCTAGCAGAGATTTTTGTTCATGGCTCACTCTATATAGCCTCATGTGCCTTAAAGGTGAACTCTACTTTTTTGTCAATATCAAGCTTTTCCAAACTAAGAAATAATCTGAATGTTATAATTAATTTTATAAAATGCCCATGCTGTTGGATATCAGTAAGCAAAGCCATTAAATTGAACCAATAAATTGGTAATAACTTGTATAAAAAAAAACACCTTCAGATTTTAAATTTCATTTGCCTAACTTTGTTTTGGCCCATCTAGGTCATTGAAGAACATTGAAAGTTATCTAAAACATAGCTTAATATATTCTTTTATTGCCCCCACCCCCACCCCCTGAAGAATGTCATAAGCCAAAATACTTTTTAAAACCAGATAATTCTTTAATATCTGGAAAGATAATTTTTAATGCAAAAGTACTTCCAGAACAGAGATTATATAGCAAGTTTATTCTTTTGTTAACTTTAGGGATTCTTTGCATTTATTTGTGTAATAGCCGGAACACTCCTCTCTCCTTTAACAAATCACCTTTTAGCACTCCTATCTCCAAGAAAAATGTTTGTTTGGAATTGGAAGGGAGTTATTTAAAGTTAGTTTATAGTTTTAGAGGGTTATTAGGAAAATTCCAAGTTGCATTTAAATAATAGTATTAATGGTAAGCACACTGACATTCAACATGTCTAAACTTAGAGGTAAATTTAATCCTTAAAAGGACTATTAGTTAGAAAATAAGTATTTGTATATACATGGACTGTGGTAACTTTGGATTTGTTTTAAGTCTGACAAAGTAAGATAAATTTTGTCTTTATAATGAAATTATGTTAAATGGGTAAGAAGCATCTGAGAGGTATTTAGACCTAGGCATCTCTGTCAGCATAGTATCTGGAGCATACCGCCGCCTTAGAACGCTTAATTCTTATTTCTTTGGAAAATAATTTACTTATTCCAAAAGGCGTAGAAGGAACTCAAATTCCTCTAATTAGCTGGATATTAAGAGTAAGGAAGTTGCATGGTATAGCTGAAGATCTGAGTTCATTCATTGACAGTTTATTTTCATTTTTTTTTTCTGATAACATTTTCAGCCCCCTCACGATTATATTTTAAATTAAGGTTATTAATGTTTTAACCTAGTTCACGTTATGGTAAATTAATTTTTAATTGACATTCATATTGAACTCAGAAAAACTGGTTTGGTCTTCTCAGACTTTAATATGTAGTACTTTTTCTTTATTGTCAAGTTTCGATGTTGCATCTTTGGTCAGTGGAATCTATGGAAATATGTGTTCTTTCTTTGTGGTAAGGGATGCGAGTGGAAAAGAGGAGAATTGCTCTAATTATACTTAGGCATTTTGACTATATAACGATAGTTGTAGACTTAATCTGTATAAATGACAAGTTAATATTTACATATTCTGAATTGTTCTAAGGAACAGTGGCCCGAAACCATGGCTTGTTTTGTGGAGCTGCTTGATCTTTAATGGTAGTTGACCAGTTGGATTTAAGTTGAAGTTTTGGGGTACGTTATCTAGCTCAGGCTTTTAGGAATAGAGCAGACCAGGTCTGCTCCTGTAGTGGATCAATTTAATTTTAATTTCCTTTTTAAGTACTCTAATTTAGATATAGGTATTATCCATTCTGAATCTTTGTGTTGGGAGTTTTATAAGACTGTTGTCAAAAGCTATTAAGGATAAACACAAGTATATGTGAAGCATTTCACAGATAGTTAAAATTTTCCTTTTTTTGGTTTCAAAGGTTAGTTCTATAGTGTCAATATCATAACCAAAGCAAGTAGGAATTTGACTCATTTGGAGACTCTTCAAGTAGTCTTAAATGGTGTAATATATCAGATTGTTAACCAGGATTTTTTTCCTGTGTTTCTGCTAAATGTATTATTATATTAATGCACTTTTGTATATAACTGTCTTCTGTACATTCTGTACTTATTACAGTGGACATAAGATTTTTCCTGAAGCTGTGAGGGAAAAACAATAGGTGTAACACAAGTCATTTCAATTTTGAGTTCCTTCTTGTACTTGAAATTAGTAGTTCAGTATTTAAATCTAAATGAGTATGTATGGTTGTAATGAAAACTGGCAGTGTGACAGAACTGTCTTTTGAAACAATATCAGAATGAAAAGCGTTGTTTTGGTTATTAAGAACTCTTGTAATATGTTAATTTTTTATGTACCATGAGTTTTTATAAATTCCAGTGCTGCTGAATCCACTCCTTGTCATATTCCATCCCAGTACACTTATCAAGAGAGAAGAATTGCTCTCAATTTATTTTGCTCACAGTTTGGTTAAGGCTTCATAAACTTTTGTTTTGTAAAAGCCTCAATTTCTCAAATTTCATTGGCAAATTATTTTCTTCTGGAAAGATCAGATTTCTATAGAGATTAGCATTCACAGTAAGTGAAAATTAGGTCTAACTTTTATTTACAAAAATCAGATCTATTTTCCTTATATATTGATCTAGAATCTTTTAAAGTTACAATTATATAAAAGAAATGGCTGTGAGCAGTTTTATATATAGATACAGAAGCAATTCGGCTTTTCAGCAGCAACTTTCTCTCTTGCCACTAGAGGGAGGTGGTTGCTCGCTCCTTCAGAAAATGTCTTAGCTGCTTTTCTTTTGTTTTTAATTTTAGAGGTTGAAATCAACCTCAGTCTCAAAACTCCTTTTGTGATATTAAATTCTTTCATTTATTAGTCCAAGGTGAGTTAATTAAGCTTGTGTAATAAAGCCTGTCTTATTCATGCTTTTCCATAATCTTCAGTGTTTAATAAATGTTAGATATTACTTGAAACGTATGTGTGGGTGTGTGTTTTTTTGGTGTGTGTGTGCTTTTTTTTTTTTTTTTTAGGTATTTTAGAGCTGTGTTGTCCATTATGGTAATTTTTAGCTACATGTGGCTATTTAAATAAATTAAAATTTAAAGTTTAGTTCTTTGGTCCCGTTAACAGCACTTCAAGTACCAAATAGTCACATACAGCAAGAGGCTACTACTATAGAGACACATCATCATACCTCCATCATCAAAGATGGTTTATATATTGACCTTGTTATAATGCAGATTTTGATTCAGTAGGTCAGGGGTCACAGTCTAATATTCTGTAGTTTTAGCAGCTATTCAAGTGATATAAATGCTGCTGATCCATGAACAACATTTTGAGTAGTGAGGGTCAGAACAAAGTCCAGACAATCTACAACGCAAGAGCCTCCATGCTCTGATGGGCCCCAATCTACTTTCCAGTTTCATCTTCTATGAATTTCTTTCTTTACCCCACACTCAAACCAACTCAATACTATATTTATAGTATTCACCTTATGTGACCCTCAAGGATCGTGGTGATTCAAGCCTTTGTTCAGTCCCCTTCCTTTGGGTGTGGACTGGACCTAGTGATTTACTTCTAACTGTTAGAATACAGCAAAAGTGATGGGATGCCACTTCTGTCATTAAATTACAGAAAACTATGACAGCTATCTTGCTTGTACCTGTACTCTCATCTTCTCAGTTACTCTGACGAAATAAGCTGCCATGCTGTGACATTCTCTGTGGAGAGGCCCACTTGGCAAGGAAGTGAGAGACAACAGCCCATGGTATGACAGCCCATGAGGAATTGAATCCTGCCTACAATTCTTAGTGAGCTACAAAGTGGATCCTTCCCAGTGGAGTCTGTAGATGACTGCAACCTGGTGAGAGATCTTGAGCTCAAGCACCCATCTAAGTCATGTACAGATTCCTGAACCACAGAAACTGAGATAATCAATGTGTATTGTTTTAAGCTGCTAAAGTTTGGCATAAATTGTCATGCAGCAATAGATAAGTAATACATTCTTTACTAAATATACCATGAAATGACTTCCTGTTATATACTTCTCATCAAGCAAAAGAAAACTCAGATGCTGCTTCTTCATTCAGCATTATTTGCTGGATGCCTACTCTATGTGAGGAACACTGCGTTAAGTACGGAGGGATACACAGTAAATAAACAGGCATAGTCTTTGCCATCACACAGCTTATATTCTTTGGCATTGGTTTTCAGTATTTCACAAAAGAGAGAACCAAGATGTGTTTCATTAAAGGAGAGCTATTTTTAATGCCAAGAAAGAAAAAAATAATATAAAGTAATATATGAAAAGCCTTTCCACCTACCTGAGCAGGTATAACTGTTTACAGTAGTATTATACAGCAGAAAAGACTAGAGGGGTGCTGGGCGAGAGTGGTGGAGTCATGGATGGAGCTGAAAAGGGGCAGGACTGGAGTGCCCTCTCATTCCAAAGCCCACACTTTTAACCTCTCATAGTAAGTTACATTTTTGCTCATACTGTTGCCTTTTTCTGCCATCTCTGCCTGGAGGAAATCCTGTCCTATCTCTCAAGGCGCATTTCAAGTGCAGCCTCCTTTGTGACACCTTCCCTGATTTCATGCTCTCCATGTCTAACAGATGACAGCCCTCCTGTTGCTGAGATTGGAGATAAGGAAGAACCAGGTCTCTGAGAGGTCACAGCAGTGAATTCAAATTCTAACCACATGGAAACCACATTTGGGAGAACATGAGGACACCTCACTGAATAGGAAAAGGGTCTTTTCTATCCAGAAACTAAGGACAATAGGCCACCCTCTAACTGAGCATGTGCAGTTGGAAGTGTTCCATGACAGAATGGCTGGGGAGCAGTGTGGAAGGAAGGTGGCAATAATTCCAGAAAGGCAAAGTCATCTGAGAAGCTTATTTTAAAGATAAGCTGGTGGTTCAGTCCCAGATATTGTTGACTGACACTTGCAGTGGAGTCTAGGAATCTGCCCTTTAAACAAGTGCCTCAAATATTTCTGATGTAGGTGGTTTATGGAGCACTCAGAAATATGGCTCAAAGTAAGGTGATCTGGATCACCTTGGCTACATGTCACCTAGACACTTCTAAAACTAACAATGGATAAGCCCCACCAAGGACCAAAAAAATCAGAATTGTTGGGGAGTGAACCCAGGCAGCAGAGTTTAAAACTCCTTATTTTGTTCCAATATGCAGCCAGGGTTGAGAGCCAGTAATCTGAATAACAGGAAGTCCTTTTCCTGGGGCCAGGGAGAAGGGAGAATCTGAGAGGCTGAAAAGTAAATACATTAAAAATACAAGTATATTTCATTGTGATTTTTCACTTTAATACAATTTATACTTTCATGTTAATTTTTCTTAAGCAATACCTTTGAATCCTTCCGCTGTTTGAGGAACTATGAGCAGAATTTAGATCAATTCAATAAACATGCATTACTTGGCAACCATGGATGCTCTCTGGACTCTGCAGTAACTACAAAGGTGATCCTAGTAATGACACTGTTTCTTGTGTGCTAAGCTGCATGTAAAGCTCATTACTCATATTTTCTCATCTATCTTCACTGCAACCCTATGAGGTAAGTACTATATTGTTCCCATTTTACCAATACATGCATAGAGGCACAGAGAGGTTAAGCAATTAGTTCAGAACACATAGCTAACAGCCACAGAACGGGGATCTGAGCCCCTGCAGTAAGATTCCTGAACTTCCATGGACAATGTGGTAGCCACTATCCACATGGGGCTATTCAGCACTTGAAATGTAGTCAGTACAAATTGAGATGTTCTGTAAATTTAAAAACACCTGGTTTCAAAAACAGCATGAAAGAATAAAAACATCTCAATAATATATTATTCTCAATAATATATTATTCATGCAGAAAAGCTAATGTTTTGATATGAGTTAAAATATATAATTACAATTTATTTTATCTGTGTCTTTTTACTTTTTTAACATGGCTACCAGAGAATTTAAAATCACTTATGTGGATCACATTGTATTTTCACTGCACAGATCTGCTCCAGTGGCTGCATGCTAAACCACAACTTTTGCTTAAATCACAGATTAAGCAGATAGTTCACACTATAAAGAAGCTTAAAATTTGAGTAGAAACGATATACAAATCAAATATTTCTAAAATTGTATTATAATTAAGTGCTATGAAGGAGAAAGGAGAAGACTTTCTAGTGTGTTATGTGGCAGTGAAACTTTTAAACTGGTCCTGAGAAATATTAATAGTGAAGGAGAGGATAAGTGAAAATATGGGTTCATTTGGGAAAAGGCTAGTAGTCTAATTTGGAACATATGGTATGCAAGGAGAATAGAAGGTAAGGCTGAATAAATAAGTGAGGACCAATTCCTAGCAGGCCTTGAATACCAGGCCAGGAAGTTGGGACACTTGGTTGTCACAGGGATCCATTGACAGGTTTCAAGCAGAGGTGTCATGAAATGACTTGGTTTTCAGAATGATTAATACAAGAATAAACTGTTCCATGTACTCACAACTGTAAACCTACTTTTTCCTCACCCTGTGTTTTGCTGCCCAAGAAGATACAATGAGTAAGATACAAAGGGAAAAATATAACTTGACTACATGGAATTATTGAACCAAAAGTGATTAGCTGATCCATGAACAACATTTTGAGTAGTGAGGGTCAGCTTTTAGCCCTTATTGATTCTCAACAGAATAAATCTGTAAATGATAATAGTGCTCAATTTTAATTACAGCAAGTGCCACTTTTCAAGGCCTATCAGACATCATGCTGCTCTTTCAACTGCACTTGACATGTACAAAGCAAATCAATGTGGGTAGAAAACAGTTGTAATTTAGTCCAGTTTACTAGTGTATCTTTTCACTGTATACATTTGTCTTGGACTTAAATGGTCTTCATTACATATATCATATACAGAAAACCATGTAGATAGCCCTCCTAAAAAAGAAAGATGATCCCAATAGCAGGCACTGCTCTGGCTCTTTCAGAGAAGGTATAGGCCAGGAAGGTGGAGAAGCACAAGCCAATAAGATTTCAGCAGGGAGTGGTCCACAAAATACCTCTTCATTTGGGAATTCAACATGTCTCAATACAGAGCCAGTCCTTATCCAAACTGTCAAATGGGCAGCATGAGAAAAGGGAGGAAGCCTGGAATAGAATGGTGTCCTGGGAGGCAGGTGCAGAGAAAGTTTGAAGAAGAGTGTGTCTTTGTGGCCTAGGATGCTATAAACAGATGACCCTGTAGCTGGAGCACTAGGAAACAGGGTCATTATTCAATGACCTTAGAGCAAAATTAGGCTGCCATATTCATAATGTCTTATAACCGTTTCTACAGTATTTATCCAGAAATTTAATGGAGTCCAGAAACCACCTACATCAGTATCAGGGACTGAGGGAAAGTGTATTTTTTAAAATGGATTCCCCAACTCCCCGGCCTCACTGCAGACCTACTGAGTTAGAATTTTTTGGAGGTAGGGCCTAGAAAATATGCATTTGAACAGGGTCTCAGATAATTTGGATGCATACAAAAGTTTGAAAACTATTGCCTCACTAGAGCAGAAATCCTTATGTATAGTGCTTGGCACAGTGATGCTTAGTGGATTATTGCAAAATTTATGAATAATATGAGAATGATAGACAGAAAACTGGGCATACATAGGTAGAGAACATTACCTCATTCACAGAGAAAATTGAGATGTAGTTTCAAGTCTCAACTTCCTCCTTGCCTTGTTCCCGTTCTAAAGTGGAAGACATTCACTGTATTACCATTAAATATTACCTGTATATTTTTCATAGTTTTCCTTTGACAGATTAAGGAAATTTATGTCTATTGCTAAGAGATTTTTGGTGTGTTTTTTTTTGTAAATTAGGAATGGAGGTTGGATTTTTGTCAAATGCCTTTTCTGTATTCATTGAAATGATGAAATGTTTTTTCTTTTTTAGATGTTAATATGGTGATTACACTGATTTTTGAATGCTTAA